CTTTTCTTGTTTATATATATTATTTAAAATAATTAATCTCTCATTTCTCACTCATAACTGTTCAGGAAGAACTCACAGAAATCAAAGCCTGCTTGGTGAAGTATTAGGGAAAATATGTAGAAATTGGTTTTCGCTTTTATTCACCAAGATTTTATAGTAGATATTTTAGAAATTATAAATGCTCTGCACTCATTCCTTAGCTCTAAATCCCTTATTACATAAAGTCTTGAAAAACAGAATGTGATTACGTATTGAAGCAGAGAGATGAAGATCTACAAATAGACTGTTACTTAAATATGTACATAAGTGTTTTTTAAATAATTCATACATGTATTTAACAAACTGTCAGAAGCTATGCAATACAAAATTAAAACTGACAATGCTCTTAAAGCGCTCTCTAAAGTATTTAGGTTGCCTACAGGGTATGTAAAACATAGACTTTCAGCCCTGGCTTTCAGTTTCCTAGATTGTAGTTGTCTGGATTGCAGTTAATGCATTTTGCGTGAAATAAAATAGAATAAATTACTGTCTATGGTATTTGCCAGCATTATGTTGATAATAGAATAAAAGATATATATTAGAACCTCATTATCTTAAAAAGACCTTAATAGAAAGGAAGAATGAAATATCTTTTGGTGAACTCATTCTATTATATTCACTTCCAGTACCACATTTTCCTTTGACCTTTTTCTTTTCTTTTTTTTTCTTTTAAAATTATTATTACATTATTATTTTTGTTAAGATTGATTTCAGCTCCCAGTACTCTTGGAATGACTTAAGCTTCATATTCCATTCCTATTTCTTCTTATTCCTGCGCAACCTTTTCAGTCCTTCTTGTTTTTCTCTTGGCAGTCATCTCTGTCAAACCTACTTGACCACTTCTACAACTTCAGGCTTTTTTTCCTTATCTGCGCTTCCTTATCTTCATGTTTATTTTATATTTTTCCCCTTTTCCTTTTGGATGTTTTCTTTCTCCTTTTCAGGCATACAGACATATATAATAATAGCAATACCCTCTTCTACAGTCTACTGCTACTATTTTTTTTACTGCAAATTAATTAATTTTTGACCTTATTCATAAAATGCTTGGTATTCTGCTTAGTATTTCTTATTTGAAGCCAAGGAAAAACAACAGAGATTAATTAATATTGATAGTTCTAATAGGTTCTTTTCTATAGGAGGAATGCAAGAAGAAGATTCATTTATGAGAGCTAATATTTGGGAATGAAAACCCGAAGTATAACTGACTACACGTCCAGCCTTTATTGCATGAACATAGTAGCCAGAAAAACACAAACCAAGGAGATCCTGCCAACTTCCTAATTCATGTTTATTCAGAAGAAAATCTAGAGATTTGTTCATCCAGCTGGTGAAACAGAGCTTCCAGGAATGTCCAGGCCAATCCTCAGAGTGAGCAACGAGTGTCTTCCTCACAGCATCCTCTCCTCTTTTCTTAATATCCATACCCCAAATCCAGCATCATATTATCCATGAATCAAAACCTGGCCTTCTAATCTCTCACCTATTCACCTCACTGAATTTTTCTAGTCCTTTTCCTTGAGGGAAAGGATTTATTTTCCAACAGCTTGCTTTATCTTGTTACTCTCCTCCAGTAATTATTAGTTGTGCTTCCCTCCCTCACTGCTCCTTGCAGAGAGCTGTAAAGCCTATTTCTTCATTAAGTTTTCCTGGAAGAGATTTTTGAGACTCCCACTGCTTCTTAGCACCTGCACAGTCAGAGATGGCTTCTTCTGTCCGGTGAGGAATGCTGTCAGCTGAGGAGAAGTTGTTTGTTCCCTGCTACTTCTTGTCAGGGCTGAGGATGTTCCCTTCATTTAGTTCAGCTGCCTGGCCCCAAGGCCAGCACACAGACATTCAGGGTCTCCTCTGGTCTGCTGAGATCCAGCTCTGAGGAACCCCAGGCAGGATCTCCACAGCCTGACAGACTGCCTTCATCTGGGGCCGGCTCTGTCACCATGGACTCCCTTGTGCCTGCCAGACTGTTGACGACAACAGCTGCTGTCACCAGCCCTGACATGCTGATTCAATTTCCAGTGATACACTGGGCCTACCTCTTTGCACAGACTGGTCCAGCTACTTGGAGCCTTGGCCAGTCTTGCCTACAGGTGGCTTTGCTGTGAGGGACATGGGGCCTACCTATCTGGTAGTCACTGTCAGTACCCCTGTGAGCAGCCTGCCCTCCCTGCCCCTTGATGCTCTCCTTCATGTTTCTGGCTGCCAGGGTGCTAAGAGCACTGAGGAACATTAACAGCCCAGACCAGCCCCACCTGCAGCCTGCCTAAGAGCTCAAAGATCTATTTAAGCTCAGCCTGGGGGTACTTCTTTCCCTACTCCAGAGAAGCTGTGAGATGCTTGTTCTAGTAGCTGCAACACTGACAGAAGAGGAGCCAGACCACTGGTGTGGCCTCAGCCCTGTTTTTTTTTGTTGTTGTTGCAGGTTTCCTGGTGGCTAAGCCTCCTGGCTGATGCTGGCACCTGCCCTGGACTGCTTCACCAGGTACCATGTGTGGCCTGAGAGGGACCTGCTGTGCTCACCTGGAGTCCTCTCAGGGGGGAACTGGCTGTTGCCCTGACTGTGGCATGTGTTCCCTTCATGCCAGGCTCTCCTCCTTTTGTCCTTTACTGCTCTTACATGAGCCTTCATCACAAAAATGAATAGTAATAAGACACTTCCTGAAGCAGGTCTACAGGCTCTAAGGTAAAATAGAGTAAACTTTGTTTTCAAACTAAAATACTGAACAAAACAGTTTTGTGGATTCAGTTCTATGGTATGTTACACCTGCTGTATTGTAAAAATACATATCCTGTCTGTAATTATCAGTGGGGGGAAAATAAAACCACAACAGGTATGTCTTTATACAGCACAACTGAAGAACAAGGTGTACTTGTTCTGTACAAGGTTCTTCTCCCTGGATCTGAAGGATGTGCATCAAATTCAAAGGTAATTACTCTGTGCAGAAAACACTAAATACTTATATTCCAAAGATGTTCAAATACTTATAAAGAGTAACAAAACACTGTCCTTCTAGATGCCCTTTAATGGGATTATCAATACACACAGACCTTCTTACAAGAAATGACAAGGAAGCTCTAAGTGTGAAAGTACTGCTTGTGATATACAAGATGGTTAAAAAAAATCAGGCTAGACTATGATTCTTTGGCATTTTTTCTCAGTTCAATGTAACCATCTGAAAACTTGTGGTATAGATACGTACAAAAAACAACAACAACAAAAAGCACCAGAACAAACAAAACCAAGTAGATTTGCATTAAATAGTATTTCTTTTTCCCAGGGGAAAGTCTGTCTCAGACAATGGATTGTGGTGATTGAGGATTTTAGTAGCATACAAAGAATGTATAAACTTCTATACAGAAATGAAAACCATAGAAGAAACATGCAATTCCCTTAATTCTACTGTTTTGTTTTAATCCACTAGCAACTAATATCTTACTAATATCTCACTAATTTAATACTCTTTTATTGTCATTACATGGAGTATTGGAACTCCCAATGACATTAATTGAACAATATTGCAAGTCTGGGAACTGTAGCAGTCTTTCACTGAAAATATTTTATATTTCTGTGAAAGCTGTTAACACATCCTTTTCTTTATCTTGTGAGGAATAATCTAGTGAAAATACATAGATATGTAGATGGGATCGTCCAGTATACGATAGTAGGGGATTATGAAGCATATACTGTCTCAATTGATTAAATCATTTTAAATTGTTCTTTTATTAAAAATTTACCTTTCCTTTAGAACGAAATGAATGAAAGCATGTTCAAAAGCTCTGACATCCAAAACTAGATAAAGTTTAATTGTTTGATCTACTGCTGTATCAGAAAGGTAAATGGACAAGTTGTGTTTTTTTTTTTTTTTTTTTTTTTTTTAGCTTGTAACTTTTCCTGCCTTCTCACTGTTATCTTTAGGTGAGAAGATATATTTTGCAAGAAATTTCCATCTGCATATTTCAAATTATTTGCATCTTATTTGATTACTCTGTAATCAAGGTATTTACATTCCAACAGAGGGGATCTAAGGGACATAAATACTGACACATAGTCGGAGTAAGACGATTGATGCTAACAGCTTTAAGCAACCTGGAGCTTCATGTGATCGTGGCTCAGAAGGGCAGATTTGCCAGGGCTGCTTCTCAATTAAAGCTAAATCAACACCTCAGTGCAAATTCAACAGCACTTACAGGTTGTGCACTTGGCAACTATTCTGAGCATACTCAACATAATAGGGATACACAATATCAAGACCTTGTACTGAAATTGAACGTCTTTAAATGTTTCTGTTGGCTGTGTAATCAGTACTTGATACAGGTGTTTAAGGAGCTACAAAGGAAGGCAGCTTTACAGTCGCAAACTCCTGAGTTACCTCGCAGACTTCCAGCCCGTTTGATGGCAGAGAAGTTGGCCTATCTCTGACAGCAGCTCTCTTCTACAGACCCAAGCTCACAGAGACTTGGATATTCTGACACACAGTCGAAGGAACTGCAGCTTGTGTCACTCAAAAAGGGCAGTGGGTTTTTTTTTTTTTTTTTTACTGTTTTATTTCTTTCTGCTGCATAGCGTCACGTCTCTAGCTTTATGTCTTAATAACAAGATTACCGACCTGCTCGTTTAACGGTATCCACGCGTTAATAAGGCACCACGGAGTTATACGACTCAGAACTCAAAAAGCCTCGCCGTTTTCCTTCGCGTTAAGCCCTTGCGGGCTCAGCAGCACCCGCCAGGCTGGGGCCGCCTCAGGAGCGCTGATGCGACCGCCCTCAGCGGGCCTCTCCACGAGCGGAGCCGCCCCACCCGCCGGCGGCAGCGCGCCAAAGCGCCCCGCGCGAGCCGCGGCGCGCTTCCCTCCCCCCGCCCTCTCTCCCTCCCTCGGCGGCCGCGGCCCCGCCCACGAGGCGGAGCGGGCGCTGCCCTGGCAGCCGCCGGGACGCGGCGGGAGCGCCGAGGGGCGGCGGTGCCGCCATGCTGGGCGCCGCGGGCCCCTTCCTGCCGCGCAGCCGGGACCGGCCCGAGGAGCGGCGGCGCAGAGTGGCCCCGCTGGCGGCCGTACCCCCGGCGGGAGAGGAGGAGCCGCTCCTCAGGGGCATCTTCGAGATCGGCAAGAGGAGCTGCGACGTGGTGCTGAGCGCCCGACGGCTGCGCTGGAGCCCCATCGTGCCCGAGAGCCCCGCAGGTGGGACGGGCCGGGCTGCGGGCAGGGAGGTGGGGTCCCGGCGTCGGGCTGCCGCGTGCGGCGAGCGGAGCGGCTGCTGGCGGCGCTACGAGGGGCCTGCGGGCCGGGCTGCTCCTTCGGAACGGGCCGGGCTTCGTGCAGAAAGTGCAAACTCTGAGGGGTGTTGTAAGGCGGCGGGACCCGCTCGGGCTGTGCTGGGGGTGGGGCCAGCCCCGCTCTGCCATCCAGCAGCGTGCTGCGAGGTGCGCTGCTTATGGAGTCGAGTGCAAAAACCGAGCAGAAAAGGCATGCTCCTCTAATTTATCCAAATAGTCGTTTTGTTTTGTTTTTCTTCCTAAAAGCTCGGAGAGCTTAAGCTCAGTTTCAGAACGTCACGTGCACTCTTCCAAGTGCCTGTGGACTGAGGTGACCTCGTGGTGCTAAGGAAGGACGTGTCAGCTGTGCTCCAGGGCTGCGGTTCTCTGACCACGCAGCTGGGTGCTGTTACAGCACGGCTGGCTTGTCTAGGCGCACACACCGTGTTCGTGGTGGTATTGCTTTGGAAGGAACTTGCTGCAGAGGAATGCACTCTCAGCCCAAAGCTGAAGTTATGCTCTGCTCGGTGTAACCTTGCAGGGACGCCAGAGCTCCTCCAGCCAAACCAGCGTGGTGTGCTGGCTCATGGCAGCGTTATGCTCACACTTCAGAACCTGCTGTTCAGCAGAGCAGCAGTTCTGGTGACACCTGTGCAGGTGTTAACATGGCCCTGCTTTACACAGCTGGGGTGGGAGTCTCGGTAAGGCAGTGCTGAGGCCACTCCTCCTCCCTGGCTGGGGTTATCTGCAGGTCTCTGTTTACGTGGTCTGAAGTGTCAGTTATGAATTATTTAGTTCAGTGTGCAAGATATTAAAGTGCACTGTGTTTAAAGTCAGGCCTGTTGCAGATGATTGAACTTCAGGAATCCTATGGAAGGCAGCACTGAGAAGTTGATGTTAGTTATATCAAGATTTGGTCTCTTACTGCACATGTATTCAATCGATGCTGATACTCAGCTATCTCTAAAAATTCAGTTTTGCACTGAGCTGCTGAATATTGTTTTGGAGAAGCGCTCATTGCCCTGCTTCTTCATTACCCTCAGTGGAAAAGACAGCTTTGTCTTTTCCTGTGGGAGTCTATGAGCTCCTTATGAGTCTATAAGATTTCCAAATTCTTAAATGTCAACTATTGATGCTTACAGCACATATGTCATCAGCACATTGATGATAAAAGGATTTTTAGCTCTTCTGTCACTAGGGATACTCACTACTATGCCATCTGAGACAATTCCAGCACTGTCATGGGCTTTCTTTGAGAATGAAAGCATCTTGAAAGGAAAACTATCAGGTTGTTTCTGAGTCCCTTCTGGTCGTGCTGTGATGGGAACTCAGTGGTCTACCTAAAGAGCACTCAGCAGAATCCCTGTGATGCCTTCTTTTGGGCTGGATCTGCATATGCCTGCTGGCATAGGCAGGTGAGCTGAGTGGGAGCTGAGGGTTTTTGTTCTGGGCTTGCTGTCCTTGCAGGGACAGATACAGACTGTTCTGGTTTTCCTTTCAGCTTGGGCACTGGAGGTCATAATAGCTTTACTTCTGTAACTGCAGAGGTCAAATAGGGATTTGTAATTTGGATGCTTGTTCTCTCTGACTCTCTTCTGTCCCAGTAGGGATTACTGGTGGTGGATGTGCCCTGCGGTTGCAGAAGATACTTGTGGTTATCTCATACAGTGCAACAGCAGTGCAGTACTTGGGCCGAACAGGCACAGGAGATGGTTAAAGACTATCTGAACAGCTTGCTCTGAATGGTTTGTTTCCCTGGGATTTTGTTTAAGCATATTTTCTCCAAACCAAAAGCTTCACAATGTCATTTAACACTGACTCGAACAAGGAAACTCAGTTTGCTAGGTGGTCTGAACCTCTTGCTTGGTCCTGTGTGTACTAATTCTTCTTTTAGGAAAAAGCCTTTCTGTGGCAGACGTGTCTGAAGAGTACAGGTAGCCACTAATTCCTCTTTTCCCTCCCTCCCTCAGTAGTTCCCCAAATTGTTCCTGCCTTGCTGACGTCCTTGCTTGTAACCTGCTGCTTTGTGGCTCCCATTGTCAGGTACCTTGCTCAGCCTTGGCTCTGTCAGTTCAAAGTTTCAGCTTCAGGTCCCTAATACACAGCCTCTGCTTTGGCTGGGCTCAGTCACCTACACCCTGATGTAAGCATAGTTCTGCACCACCGCACTGTTTCTGTGGAGCTCTTGGTCAGTATGTGGTTACCAAACTCTATTCCTCCTTTACTTTCCCTTTGCCTTCTGCAGCGTCTGTCTCCGGATGAGTTTTGTTACCTCAACTTACCAAGTGATGGTCTGTTCTGAGTTTCATGTACCCTATGCACTAACAGAGCTTTGGACAAGAGTGATGCAAATGAGTGTGGGTCTGAGGCTGGGGCCAGGCAGAGCAAAGTGGGGCTCAGCCCCTTGCCCCACGGCTGCAATTTGAGCTCAGGGTGCTGAGCTCAGCCTGTGCTCCAACAACCTGCTGCCCTGACACGGGTCAGGTTGCTTGCTTTAAGAATGTGGTGGGTTATGTGATGAAAGCACAGTTCACAGTCACTAATTACTAATTTTTACTCTAATTTCTTTCCATATGGCTTTCCTTTGCCGTAACATTCACTGAAATTGTCTTCCCTTTCTACATTAATAATCCAGCCCCAGACTGTAAGAGCTTCTCCTTCTGGATGCTGCTTAAAATGCCACAGAAGAGAAGGTTGTCAGAAATGCAGATTTGAATGTTACGTGATTTTTAGGAGTTCTCAGAAAATAATAATCATAACTGAATGATGGAGGACCCTTCCAGAAGAGATGCTCAGGATGCAGTATTTTTCTTTGTGACTAAAGTTTAAGAGCTAATGAAATACAGGGGATTAGCAGTGGTGGATGTGGGAATTATTTGTATTTTAGAACAGTTTCTGTTCATATAATGTCAGTTCATCCTTCTTTTTTTTGTTCTTCCAATAAAATGTAGGTTGTTTGGTTGGATTGTTTGTTTGGCTTTGGCTGAGAACTTTAATCATGATATTTCCTTATAGCCTTCAGCATCTTTTTGAAGATTGCCACAGAATTTCCAAACTGAAAACTTCAGTTTTTCAGCAGATTTCTGTCAGATAAGAAATAGAATAAACCCAACACAAAGTCTGTATTTACTGGCATGAGAAGCCCAGAGGGTTTTGGTAATTGTGAAAACCTTTTTATAATTGTAGTTTGCTGTGTTTTAGTACACTTGACTGAAGAGTGTATGAACTCATTCTCTCAGACTGACAGCAGGTAGGCTGGGCTGAATAGTTGGGTAATAAACCTGTCAGATAAAACCTTGTTTTTTAAATATGAATAGTAGAACAAAATATTCTAAATTAATTGACTGACAAGAAAGTGCTCTGGAGTAATACTGAGGTTAACATATTATTGACAGTATGCTTTTATAGTAAAGTAAAAAGGATCAGTGTGTAGGCTAAGTATGCATAGTATCATCTTGTTGATGTTCATTAAAATGTGAAATTATAAATATTCTACCCAAGTGCAGCAATAAGGAAAAAATCACAGATGTATTGAAACAGTGAAAGAGTCAGCGATAAAGGACTTAAAATTAATTCCGAGTGGAGAGTGGCCTGCTGCCAAGGCTATTTAGGAACAGATGTGGGTGAAATGGATACCAATAGTCTGTTTGGGATCTCTAAAGACATCTGTCAGTCTGTTGGTCAGTCAGGAATAATGGAAGTGGGAACTGGCTGTGAAGCACTGAAGTGAGCTGGTCACATTGGGAGCTTTTGATTCCATGTCTGATGTGGAGAGAACATAATTTCTCCAAGTGTTTTATGTATTGTCCAAATAGGAAAAGTATTTCTGAGGAAGAGATGTAAAAAATAAGTGAAAACGCGATGTACATGTAGTATATGAATATATGGCTCTAAGATGTGAATTGAAGGAAGAAATCATACAGTCTTAAACAATCCCATGGTTTCCAAATGTGTGAGAGACTTAATCAATATATTTTTTTTTTTCTGAGAAGCCCATAAAGTATATCTCTTGGGTGAATGCTGCATGAAATTGTGAAGGTATTTGTTAATTTACATTTTTTTTTAGGGGAAAAAATAAGAGTAAATGAATTTATTTTTAAGAGAATTTAATTTCAGGTGACTTGTACACATCATGTCTTGATTCTGCGTGTCTTTCTCGGTGTGGAAGAGTTCACAGCTAGCTGAGTGCAGAACTCCTTCCATTGCATTTTCTGGTGTTTTTGTCATACTTCACGTGTTTGTGCACCTCCCTGCATCTGTCGAAAGGGATCAACACGCACACAGCATCCAGTAGTGGCTTTATAAAGTATTTTATTTCTCTATATCCAAAAAGAGAGAGCAGGTAGTAAAATCTTTGTCCAGGAAATAGCTTTCTATACAAAGTCTTGCAAAGTATCTTTGTGTGTGAGGTTACATGCGTGTTAAAACATGTTGGTGACTTGAGTTTGAAATAATAGAATTCTGCAGTTATTTATCTGTTACACAAATAGCTCTTCTTCATGGCTTTTACATTTTATTGTAAAAGTATTTGTTGGTGATATTGTTTGCTTTGTTACCTTAAAGTTCTGCTAGCCCACAAAATAGCAAGTTTTTGACTTCCCTAAAGGTGCTGAGGTTAATGTTTTTATTCTCCTGTTGTGCTAAGCAATAACGCAGATTTGCCATGCACTTTCTGGAGGTAAAGCAGAGTTTGAGTTTCCACACTGACCCTGCCTGCCTGGCCATCAAATGGCAGTGGCTGCAGCCTGTGATGGAAAGAATTTGAAAGTATGTTGTATGTGGTAAAAAAAGAAAGTTCATATATTCACCAATCTTCGATACCCTACTGCACTAGCATGGACAAGCATCCCTTCTTCATTGGTAATTACAGTTCTTTTAGGACCATTAAGAAAAGTGTGCCACCAAATTTATTTTCTCATACCCCAG